TCGCCGTTAATAAAACAACAAATGTAAAAGAATTCCTTCCTCTCTAAATCTCTCTCTATCTATCTGTCAAACAAAACACTTCCACTAAACCAAAAAGCTATTCTAATAATATACTCTTGTATTAGCTGTACTCTTTACAATCATCACAGAAGAAAGAAAAAACAAAAACAAATACTATATGTCTACAAAACTAAAATGACAGTTATATGATGCATATCTAAAGTGCATCATGTAAACGTCATATAACAATGCCATGTAAACTCACTCAATACGCTATTCTACTCAACTCTCTCACTTTCTAAAGGGCGTGTTTACATTCAGGTGGATTATTATGATAAGCAACATTTTTATCATATTAATAGTCTTTTGTGTACACACGCCCTAACCCTCTCTCTCATTAAAAACCAACAAACCCCCGTCACAATTATATAGTTTAAAAAAATAGAAAAAAATCCACTGCGTTAACATTTAATGAAATCAAGAAAAAATCAAATTAGAATATTTCTGGTAATAAAACAAAAACAACAATAGTGCATATTTAAATGTAATTGTAATATATAGGAGAAAAAAACCGAAACCATGTAATATTTGTTAGTAATACATTTTTTTCTGCTGTGCAGATGCAAATAATTGTGTAAAACCGTAGACATACAATATGAAAAACAATATTAAATTAATTAAAAGAAAAGCCAATTGTATTAGAAATTATTTAAAAACAAATCACAACATTTTTTTATCGGAAGACAAGAGATTTTGTTTTTATAATCATTTTAAAAACCTAACTTATTTCTGCTCACATTTTTGTTTAATAATTTCTAAAAAATAACAGAAAGAAATTAAAGCAACGAATCTTAACTACGTCATTAATTTTTTAGCAACTGACAATTGAAACAACAACTTATAAAAACAATAGTAATCGATTTATTACATAAACATTCCATTTGATTTAATATCATTTCAAATGTATTGATTTTAGATGAGAAATTTTAAATTAGAAATATGGCAAATTAGTTAACTATATTCTCAGAACATGGCCCAAATTTTAAGTTATTTGACATAGACTACTTTAGACTAGTAAATCCACTCGTTTTCTAATGTGAATTCCATAGCGTATTCATGGTCACTTTAATCTGTATATGTGCACCTCACAAATCATTATTGTGAATTGACTTCCATTATGAAAATGTGGATTATATTTGAGTTGTTTTATACGCTTTTAATATACGTTGGAATTTGAGATCGAGTTGATTCCATACATCTAAACCAAGTTTTAAACGACAATTAAATAATAATTTGTCATAAAGCAAGGATGGTGTAAATGCGCCCTTATATGATCAAGATCAAGCCTTGTAGCCTAAATAGTCATATGATCGTCGTTAAAGTTGTCAGTCACATAAATGACGATTTCCTAAAACATATTCAGTGTAAATGTACCTTAAAGTACAAGATCTATTAATAAGGTCACAAAGTCAGCTGTTTTATCTCAAGTCAGCTGTTTAATCTCAAGTCTATTGTCAAAAATATGGGGTTATAAAGTTTTTATAATGGAAATGTATTCACAATTAGGATTTTGATATCAAAATTGATACCCAGCTGGTCTCCCTGGATGACCTTATTAATGGGCCTTGCTAATTATGTTCAATTATTTTAGAGGTTCACGTTTGTCACTTATTGCGTTTTTTGATAGCTAGAAATTGATACCAAAATATCCTGTCAGCCAAAACTGACAGTGTGTACCGGCCTTTAATTCGGGTCGTATTACACAACTTATTATTTACATTATTTACACAACAATCGGTTTAATTAATGGTCTGTTCCCGTAGAACTACAGTCGAAACCGTTTATAATGACATATTGGTTATAATGGCGGTATCCATTATCTTATATCTTATTTTACCGGTCCCTTGACCGTTGTTATAATCGATTTCGATTGTAGTTTGAAGAAAATGGGATAAATGCAACCCTGCAATGACTCCTTATTATGTCATATATTGTATATAAACACATGAAACAGTTTGTGGATTTTTTACATAAAATTTTAGGAAAATATTGCAAAAATTTAACAGAATGTCAAAATTGAAATTTCTCTTCTAAAATCAATTCAATTAATTCCCTCTAATGACCCACAACATTTTACAAAATATATGGTTTGGAAATTGAAATATATTTAAATTCCAACACTCACCTTCAAAACGCGTATTCATTAATAATTAATTTGAGTTTGGAATACAACAACTACCAAAATTTACATTTCCTATTGTTTTTTGCTGAATTAAAGAGAAGAAACAAACAAGAACGCCAACTCTCAAAAACAAACAATTTTTTTGTACATTGTTATTTATCTCTAGTTAGATAGAACTAAAAATTTTAGTTAATTAACGTTAAGTAAATTTTGTAAATAGTTAGAAATGCGAAATAATTTTTAAATAAAATGAACAAAATAAAACAATCAATCATATAGTCATACAAAAGAATATAAATGAAATATTTGTTGTAAAATATTAAAAAAAAATGGCAGAAAAACAGGAAAAGCAGAAAAAGGAAAATAACAGGAATGTCAGTCCCCCCAAAATCCCCAAAAAAGATTTACCATGCAGACAATGATCATAAGGAACCTGATAACAAAGGTTTTTCTTTCATTTTTCATTACAACATACAGCAAATAGCCTTAAGTCGAATTTAAGCAAAGCAAACTGAAAAAACAAAATCAAGTGGAAACTAAAAATAAGCTAAACCCCTCTATGTCCCCTCTACCAAAAAACAAAAAACGAAAATGAAAAAAAAATTAAATATAAAAAATAGAATTTGAAATTGCACACAGCTCCATCATCTTTTATCTTAAAGATGGTGAGTTGTTTTAAAACTCGAAAAGAATTAAAAACCAAATACTCTGAACGTTAAATTTAAATATTTACGATTCTGATATTAACTCAAATGAAAAAATTAAAATATATAGCATAGTTGTTAAATACACACACATGAGATGGAAATTAAACGATAAATACAATTCAATGATTAACATTTTAGATCAAAAATAATTATTAAAAAAAGAAAAAAAATAGTGAAATAAAATATATATTATAATTAAAAAAAATAAACATTAATACACCCAAACACACATTATATACAAACTTGTAGCTGATTTATGATATAGGATTAAAAACAACAACAGAAAATTAATTATTATAAGTAATAACAAAAAACGAAATAATAAAAAAACAATGTTTATAAAACTCCAATTCTTGTTAGTGATTCAATTTTTGATTATACAAAACATAAAAAAAACAAAAACATAAAATTAAAACAACTTTTAAAACACAAAAAGACATCATAATTATGATGCTAATGGATAATTACTTTAAAAAACAATATACAACAAAAACATGTCATACATTATCGACGTATATAGCAACAACAATAACAACACGAACAAAAAATACCAAACAAATCCCCTCCATAAGGTCCCACTCACATTCCACACCATTTGGGTAGATAAAAAAATTGCAAAAAATTAAAACAATTTTGCAAAAAAAATGTGTAACAAATTTAAAAAATATATAAAATCTCAATTTCCCATTATCCAACAACTAGTTAAACTGTTAGTCTTATATTAAAAAAAAATTGTAAATTTGTTAATTTTTCTTAAAACAAAAAATCCCATCAATATTAAAAAAAAGAAAACAATAACTAACAAGAAACCCAACAACAACATTATGGATGGATTTTGTAAATGGTATTTTATTATGTATAATTTATTTTTTATTATTATTACTATAATTTTTTACATTTTTTAACCATTTTTGCATTTTTTAAAATGAAACCGAAGGCATTATGCTCCAAACCAATTAGTTTATAAGTTTCCAAAGGAAAAAAAGAAATAGTAGCATAACAGCAAATTGTCTCTATGCAAAAAACAACAACACAAATAAAACTAACAAATATTTTGAATTACAAAACAAAAAAAAACATACAAGCAAACAAACAACCAACAAAACATACATACATGTTTATCTAAAAAATTATAAGAAATTAATTATGTTAAAATAAAATAAAAAAAACAAATAAGAAAAACTACGAAGAACTGGAAAAGAAAAAGAAGAAAAATAAAAGAACAAAGAAATTCAATGATAAAAAAATTAAAAAAAGAGTGTTTTATTTATATAAACAAAAAAAAACAACTAATTAAAAAGTCAGTAAGTTCGACCAAACACTACTTAGGATTTTGGAAATGAAATTTCTAACCCTCTTGCATGGGACTAAATACTGTACGGAATGAATTTAACCTCCGCTCACCTTTAATTTGATGACCAATGGTGTTGTTTTTATGCATTTTTCCTTAAAATAATAAAAATAATTATTTTTAAAACACTTCAAATGTCATTGGGAGCCTCAACTCACAACTCAACTCTGTTGCCAATTTCCAAGATTTCATCCTTCTCGCATGACATATTTATTCAATTGACACTTCCCTTAGGGTTTCGGTGCCATATTTTTCTATTATCAGACATTTTGAGTAATAAATTTTATAAAAAAAGCAAACAAATTTAAAAGTTTTGTAATAAAAGTCTGATTCCGTTGCCGCCAACTTTCACATGACAGCAACACAAAAAGTCGTTTTTACACCAAAGAGATGTTGCTGCTTGCTTAAAGCAACGGCGTCAAAACTGAATAATGTGGCCGCAATACAAAACATCGGCTAATTGACATTCCCTCTTGTCTTTTTCTAAACAAACGTGGTAAACACCATTATTCTTCACCCTCTTTCGTAAACAATACCCTCCTCTTGCCGTTTTCTATCAATGTTGTATTTTTTCAGCAATTTTCACCTGTCATTTTTTAACCACCACTCATTTTGTATTTGATGCCCAATTTTCTTGATTTTGATAATTTTTTTCTTGAAATTTTTGAAAGCTGTTGAGAGCCTCCACTCATCTTGAAATTTTGTTTCAAACATCATCAAATAAAATTCTTTTCCATAACAAAATTGTTTACTTTTTTTATTATTCTCTCCAATTATCCATATCCTTAAAACTACTGACGCCCGAACCGACACCCCCACTCACACCCGCAGCTAATTTTTCATTTGCCCCAGCATCTAAATATTTACGCTGAATATCTTCATAAGTGCTAAAGAAGAAATTATGGTTGTCCTGTGACACTTTGGTCAGCCAATCAAACCAAATCTCCTCGTTCAATTCAGTGGGGCCAGTATACATGGGATTACGGGGTGTGGTAAAAACTTGGGTACGAAATCTATTAACAATATCACTTAATGAATCGTGATACGTGGTAGCCGCTTCAGACACGACTTCAGGAAATAGAAAACTATTCACTTCCAAATCCATTTCATTAGAACGATTTTTCTTATTTCTCTGAGTTGTCGTTTGTTGTGCTGTCGGCATGGGATAGGCATCACTTATTTCCCCTCTAAAGATACGCAGCTTCGAATCTTTAAAAAAGGCTTTCAACATTTGATCTAAACAGGTCTTGTTGGCTGGGGCAAAATCTAAACGTTTGGCACGATTTTTAACAAACAATACATTGGGGAAATACTCAGGCAGGAAGTTGGGTTTTATGTCGGGAGCAGAGGGTTTCATTAGCTCAGCCAATCTTAGCAGATTTAAAAAACTTAAATTGAAATAATCATCCTGCACTACAATAAGCAGATGGCACACTGACATTAGGGTTATAATGCTATCCAAATCTTCCAGTTCGTTGTTGATTAAATCTTTCTTATAGGCATTTGACATAACTGGCGGTGTGTCTAATAAAATCATGCGATCGGAGGTAATAAATAAATGTGTAGACTCTGTCCGCGAACGAGCAGAACATTTGTTCGCCTTGAGCTTAGTGGGGAAAGTGGAATCCTCCTCCACAAACACCTTGCGATAATAATCGAAATCTAGCTGTTCGTTTGCCAGCAAATTTAAAATTGTCGACTTCCCAACACCTTGGGTGCCCACAACACCCACTACCAAAAAATCGGTATTGGCTTTCATTAATAACTTTTTGGTGCCGACATTTATTGTGCCGGTCGATGATATCACAGTGGCTGGACGACTCATTTGATAGACTGGTTCAACTATGTTTTGCGATTCCGTTGTGGTAATATGTTGTTGCTGCTGGGCAGTAATGTTGGGGCTTATGTTAGGACTTTGGGCTGAGGATTTTTGAAATATAATTGTTTTATGTGGTATCTGTTGGACATTGGAAGTTTGTTCTGGTGGTTTGGCCTGGGAGGATGAAGGTGCTGTGTCCGTCTCATTTTTCTGCTCTGTTTTGGATTTCAATAAGATTTTCGGTTGTACCTCAAGACGTTTTTCCTCCTGCTGGAAGGGAACAAATCAATTACACATGGCCTCACATGGTATATTTATTCCATTAACACTTACCTTAGGTTTTCGGTATCGTCTTCTTCTATTATCAGACATTTTGTGTAAAAGAATTGATTAAAAACCAAACAATTTAAAAGGTTTTTAATTAAAAACCTCTAAAACAACTGATTCCTTTGCCAACCACTTGCAAATGACAGCAAAACAAAAGGCCGTATTTACACTAAAAAGATAATGCTGCTTGCTTAATGCAACGGCGTCAACATTTAGTAATGTGGCCACGGGCAAAACAGTAGGTAAATTCAACAGCTGATTGACATTCCTTCATGCCTTCTTCTAAACAATCGTGGTAATCGCCTTTCTTCTTTACCCTCATTCGTAAACAATACCCTCCTCTTTCCGCTTTCTTTCGATTTTGGTTTTTATCTATTTTTTCCACAGACTCTTCCATGTGAATGCAACGGCGTTAAAACTCCGTAATACGGCCACGGCACAGTTAAACCACTTGACATTTATTTATTTACATATTTTTGTGGGTGGAAGAGGCTTCCTTAAAAAAACTATTAAAAAATAAATAATTCAAATAAAACCACAATAAAATTAATTATAAATTTCTTCCAAAATGCCTTTGATTGTAATATCTGGATTTCCGGCCAGTGGCAAAACAAAACGTGCCTTAGAATTGAAACAATATTTTGAAGGCAGAGGGAAACGTGTCCATCACATAAGTGAGAACAAGGCCATACCAAAGGCAGGATTCCATAAGAATGTGTATTTTGCCGATTCACAAAAGGAGAAGATGGTCAGAAGTGATTTGAAATCTGAAGCACTAAGATTGTTAGATAAAGAAAGTGTGGTCATATTGGATGCGGGAAATTATATCAAAGGTGGGTAAATATAATTCCTTTAAAAATGATTAATTTAATTGTAAAATTTCTTCTTATTTAAGGCTACCGCTATGAGCTGTTCTGTGCGACCAAAGCCGCCCGAAGCACACAATGTACCCTATTCTGTGGCATACAAAATGACCGGGCATGGGAATTCAATTGTAGCCGTAATGGTGTTGAACCTGAGGACCTTAGTAAAGTGGAAGACGAATCCCTGCTAGATAATTCTAACATTGCCTATAGTAAAGAGATTTTTGAGGGATTGTGTATGAGATTTGAAGAGCCTCATGGTAATTGTCGTTGGGATAGTCCGCTGTTTGTATCGTTTCCCGATGATGAATTGGAATTTGAAAATATTTACAGTGCTCTATTCGAATCGAAACCACTGCCACCTAATCAATCCACGCAAAATGTAAGAAGCTCTCCTCAGATTGTGGATACAACATTATTTCATTTGTTTAATTTTTTCAGCCCCCCTTAAGTTCAACAAATTATGTTTTTGAATTGGATCGCCTAACCCAGGAAATTGTGGCCGATGTTTTGGCAGCAAGAAAAATTGGCATTTTAGGGCCGGTGCCAATAAAAAATAGTCAAATTAAAGTAGAAATACCCGGTAATATGACTGCCATTCAACTCAATCGTGTACGGAGACAATTTCTAAACTACAGCAAACAGCATCATGCCACTACCAGCACCCTTGACAAAGTTCCTCAATTGTTTGTGCAATTTTTAAATTCCAATTGTGGGAGCGGCTAGTAAACAAGAAAAGAAACTACAATAATTTTGCATTGTCGTTTTACGATTTAAATGTATTTTTTGTGTGTTTGCATAAAAATTCACTTAACTCCAATTTGTTACTTGGAAGCCTTCATGGATTTTCTTTTAAATGTTGTACAAAATATTTTTTGTATTTGAAAAATAAAAAAAGAAAAACATAATAATTCAAATATGTTTAGTAAATTCACAAAAAAATTCGTGATTTGTCCAGGTCAATATTTTTTGTTAAACATAATCAGTGCAATCATGACAACATGATCAATCACACTCCGTCATTCTCATAAGATCATGTATGGATTCTAAGCCATACCATCGGTATTGCTTTGATTTTCCTCCATATCATCGCCACCATCACCAGTGCTGTTGAGCGGTTTGCGACAAATCCAAAATATACTTTCATATTCACTCTTCAACATTGAATTTGGATTTTGGGCATATTTTGTACGTACACCAGTCTTAGAGGATAATACTTCAAAACCGACATTATCGATGACATGCATTATGTCCTCAAATGTGGGTTCAATGCTGTCCTCGTTGTGGACATCACTGAAATGATAGAGTAATGGGCCCAGGTTAACCCAAATACCGCCAGGAACTAAGATACGATAAATAGTTTCGATGAAATCGATTACATTGTTTGCACAGTCAATGAAGAAACATGTGGCCACACAATCATAGACATCAGGTGTGGTGTAGACCTTAAAAGAAAATGGAAGCAGATGAAGACGCAAAACATAACCTCAACTATAGGTGGGGGTCTTACCTCCAGAAAATCTCCTGCAACCACGGAGAGTTTACCGGTTGGTTTATTTTTAGCTGGGCTAACATCAGGAAAACGCACCGCAGCCACCTGATCGGCTCTGCGCAAATTATTCACCGTGTGGTGGACCCAGGGATAGAGGGAGTACATGTTCTCATCGGTGCAAAAGTTCAAAACAAAGTTCGAAGCAATCAGCATGAAGTAGGAGAATTCATTGCCCTCACATTCATAGCCCCGACAGGCAAGTTCATAGGTTAGTCTGCCCAAACCGCAGCCAGGTACCAAAATCTTTACATCATTTTCGTTACTGGGAATAAACAGAAATTATTTTTTTGAAAATTTTATAAAAATTTGATTTGAAATCACACTTACTACTCCTTGGGATTGAAGTATTGCTCAATGGCATCAATGATGGGTTTGTAGGATTGATTACGTTCTTCGACACACTCAGGACTCCAGTCCCGGGCAATGGCTTTCAATGTCGATTGGGCCTTTAAAATGTGAAAAGGTTCAACATGGTCTTCAGACTGAATCAAAGTGGTTTTTTGGTTTTGTTTAAGTGTAGAAGAAGAGTAAGGAAGGAAACACATCATGATGGTGGTTTCCTCACAGGAGAGGAGGAGTAATGGAACAAAAATATTACAACAAATCAATTTTAATTAATCTACGCCACAGCCAACATAAATACACACAAACAGACACACACACTCATTACTTAATCTACAAAGGACAGCAGCTAAGCAGAACTCTGGCCCTTTCTCTGCATATCTTCTCACAAATTCCAAAACATACTTACATGTTCCATTTCTTGATGGCGTATTTTCGCCACATGTCCATCCATATCACGCTGGCTCACCGCTGAGCTATCACACAGTGGATTGTCCACCAACATTTTCTTAATGACTACTTGATTCTTGTCAATACAATCCCTTACAATACTTAAATGGTGTCTATATTTGGCCAGCATTTTTTGATGCCTTTTGGGCAGAGAGTTCAGATAACTTTCGGTTTTGTTGACCTTGGCCAGTGAATATTTTCTGCAAACAAAACAAAGCGACATATTTTGGTCAATGACTCTTGTTTGAACATAATTTATCAAACTACCTACCGATAGAATTTCAATGCCGATATTATCTTCTGCAGATGTTGCTTTTCCTCCTCTTCCTCTTCGGGGGTCAACAATGATGGACATGCATCCGCCGACATATTGCTGAGCGAGATCAACGAGGATGATGAGTGTTTTCTGTTCATGTTGTGGTGATCGGTACCAGTTGATGCAACATCCGACATAATCGAGCACGTTTTCCTCACCGTATATATAGCCGGAACAAAAACAATGTCTTTCGTTTCTTTTTTTATTCTTTTTTATTGCAAATCCCCGTTATGTTGATGGTTGGTTGGCTGATTGTATGGATGAATTGTTTACATGAAATGACAAGAGTCTAAAGTGGCGTACACACTATAATTTTTCAATGACACCAAATGTCCAAATTTTGCTTGTTTGATAGCAAGATCAATTAATAAAATCTCCTACCAAACAGCTGTTTTTTATCAAGTCTAATGTAAAAAATTTAGACTTTGTTTACGTTTTCACAAGTCAAATCAATAAGAGATTTTGACAGCAAACTTGAAAAGCAGCTGATATTCAGCTTTCTCCCTTGGTGACCATATTAATAGGCCTTAGTTCAGTTGACAATCAAAACTGTCCGTGTTTAGCTAGAAATTAATTAATTGAAATTTGTCAACATGTGAACCCTACTAAACACTCATTGGGGATGTGTTCAGTAGGCATAAGGTGACATATCTTATTTTCTATTTAAATGAATGGCATAGGGGAAAACTTATTTATAGAATATAAATAGATTTAATAGGTCTTTATGGCATTCGATTGACTTAAATGTCATCACAATTGTTGGAGGTTAATTAGAATTAATTAGAATCTATATTATGAAGGCAATTCACGTTGACAAAGATGTGAGATCCTTGGCATTCAGGGTTCTTAACGACATTTTCAATGTTTTTTATTCATTTTTTTATTTCTTAGCGTGGTTTTATATTTGCCGGGATCGGGATCGGTGTTGAGATTTTCTCTCTCTCTCAGTGGTAAATTGTGAATTGTGTTGGAAAACATTACCACAGGTAGGAACAAAAAAGTGCGAAAAGGTACCTAAAATTCTACTTCAAATGATAATAAATAATAATTATCGAGAAATATTGGCCAATATTTATACCAGTTATTTGCATAAATAATATATGTTATAATTTAAGCGTAAATGTATTCACAAATAATAAAAAATCTAATTTTTGTTTTGGTACGTTTATGTCAATTCGTACCTTTTGTGAACAAAAAGTACGCTTGTTACAAAATTAAAAATAGCGCAACTCTAATTACTCTCTCAAGAGAGAGAAACTCTCAACACCGATCCCGATCCCGACAAATATAAAACCACACTTATCCACCAACATGTGAACCTCCCTTACAAAACCCACCCCTAAAAATAGAAATATAATTGCAGCTGTGTTCAGTGAGCATGAATAAGGTGGAGGCATCTTTTTTGTATTTCAAAATCGACAGCTGGCTTTTATTTTCAAATAAAAAGTATTTTTAATTCTAAATTAAAACCTAATTTTTTCATAGAAAAACTCCAATTAATTTATTTGTGTAATGACGGCCGAGCTAAATTTATCAATGGACGCAAATATAACACCATCCAGAAAAAGGAAACGCCAGCAACCATTCCCCGAAGAAATTATTAACAAGAGTTCAGGTTTTACAAATGAAGCGTTCAGTTCTACGCCGAAAAAGATCCTGGCCAAAAGGCGGCTAAACAAGGAGAATGCCTTGGCATTTGCAAACAATGCTGGTCTGGAAATAAAATCGATTGAGGATATAGTCAAGGATGGAGAGGAACAGCAACAGCAATTACCGCCAAATCCCTATGAGGTTTTGCGTAAGCCTCCCAAGAAAAAAAAACGTCCTGCCGAGGTGGCTTGTTTTGAGAATCCGGCACTGAATATTAATGTACCAGAGAAACAATTTAATCCATATGAGGTAGGATAAAAAAATACTTTTCAAATATTATTTTTTAATGTATAAAATATTCAAATTATTCTAGGTTGTACGTGAAAATGTACCCCTGGCAAATTCCAATTGTTTTGTTAATCCGGCATTGAATTTAAAAACCCACGATCTGCCAGCTTCTAAAAATCCCTTTGAAATACAAAGAGAAACCACAACCAAAGATGATATACCCATTATGCCGTGTAAATTAAAAATAGGTTTACCTTTTGTTCCAAATGTGGGTTGTCGCATCGATTTCAAGGACATGTCCATGTCTCAGTTAACACCCACAAAACTTTTGGCCGAAAAACTTGTTTTCTCTCCCGTGGTAATGAAACCGAATAAAGTGTCCTTAGGATCCATTGGTGAAGAAGATACCATGGATATTGGTAAAGAATTGGATTGTTATCAATTGGAATTGGAGAATAGCATAAATGAGGCCAAGTTAAGGAAAAATGGTATCACCGAACACTTGCCCATGTCTCCGATCAATGAAAGTATTAAATTGGAAGAAACTGTAGAGCGACATACCCAAACCCAAGTAGAAATAACAAATGGGGTTGTAACAAAAATCACTGAAGAAAGTTCGGAAACAACAACACTACAACGTATAGAAGAAGAACCAAGTGGTGTAACAGATTCCAAGCAGGTCAATACAAACCCATTTGAACAAAGTAATTTACCAGAAGTTCCACTACCTAAATTGGATTTGGTTACCAAAAATCCCTTTGCCTTGGATGAGGAAGATGAAATTGTGGTGAAACCAGAAGATTTGGATGAACTTTATGGTCCCGATAGTGATATTGAAGATGCTAATGAATCGTTTGACTTTAAGACACCAGCTCCATTTGTTAGAGCCTACACCAAGGCCACTCCAGCCTTAAAGGTAAGCAAAGAATCTTTGGAAAATGTGGAAAGCAGCGATAATGATAAACACAAAGACCACAAGAAATCAGCCTCCGTTAAAAATATGATACGTAAGTCAATACGTAAACTAATGCATCCCAATGGACATCAGTCGTCAACAAAAACAGAAGCATCAGAAGAAGGCGAAGCTGAAGGTCAGGAAAAACAAGCCACACATGGTGGTATTTTAAATAGCATACGCCAAAGTTTGCGGCGCAAACCCTCCCGTGTTCCTTTGGCTGAAGAAGAAGGACAAACGCAAATCACCGAACTGTCCATTATTGATGGCAGCGAAAGGACAATGAAATTGAAATCGGATTTGGTACAAACAGAATATGTTAAAATTGAAGATCTGACAAATGAAAAGAAGCACAGCCTACGCAGTAGCATACGGCGTTCCACGCGAGAAGTTGGCCACCAATTGATGAAATCAGTATTTCACAAGAAACACGAAGAATATGAGTTTGCAAACAATCATTAAGAGTTACACAATTTTTTTTAATTTCGTTTTTTCCAAAGATTTTTTTATTACAATAATAATGGCTAAGTTATTTTTTCAGCTTCTTACTTTATACTTAAGTATATATTTTGGAGTTTTTATATTGCACTTTTACATATTTTTTATGTAAGTTATTACAAAAAACCAGAAGTTATCTATTGCACCTTTACCAAATAAAATAAAAATGATTTTAAAAAATGTTTTGAATTGCATTTTCATTTATAAACTGTTTGTATGAGAGGTTTCCTACGACTTTGAATTGGTTTGTAGGCCTGCTGATAGACACTGGTCAGACGCCAATGTTCCGGATAACCACCTTCCCCCGCCCCACCGGCATAACTTTTAAATGGCGGCACCAATGTGTCGATATCATAGTTCTTTTTGGTATAGGGATTACGGGGTTTTGGCACTACCAATACACGTTGTGAGGGATGCGAATGATGATGATGACTGCCCATGCTACAGCCACTATCCGAACTAACAAAATGCCCGGCGGCATTAAATCTTGGTAGCCCTGCACGAAATGCCGCCTTACATGGCATTCTCTTTTCCGTGTAATGATGATGACAATTTGGTTCCGGAGCCACTTTGTGACAAATCCGCGAACGAGCTCGGCGAAAGAAACCTGGACGTTTGCAGCCGCCAGGGTCAAGTGAAGAATCAAAATCACACCCTGGTCCCAAATATTTTTCACGTAAGGCTTTATAATCTTGATCGGATATATCGGGATTTGATTGGAATTGTTTTGTAAGTCTTTCGATGCGATGACAGGCACTATTATCCCGCGAAACACTGCGAGCTCTTGGCATGGGACGACAAAGATCCAAATCATCATCGGTTTGTATACGATGGCCACCAAAATCAGTCTTACGTCGTAAAATGTCCTTATCGAAGAAGTCAGTTTCGCCTAAAGTGTTGGTAAATACTCCAGCTGAACGTCCTGTGTTCAAAGGTGGATCTTCTCGAGGACTTTTCACAAAATTAAATACAGCAGGCCCAGCAGAATCATTAGATCCATCAATGTGTCGTGGCCTAGGGGGTTCTTGGGCCGGTAAATCCCAACAAATTGCCAAATCCATGGCTCCAACTTTTTTCTCTGGATAGGGGGCGGCTGAATACGATCTGAAATTGTCACTAGTATTATAGGCTCTGGGTACAACCCTCGATGTCTGAGGTCGATACACTTTCATTTTGGTACAGTGGGTGGGGCCAGCGTTATGGGTCTTAACTCCTACCCCACTGGCAATGGGTTCAATATCTAATGCCAACCCAGGATTATCACCGGTAATTTGTAGTCTTCTAAATGCCAAATCTGCCACACAATCTGGTAGAGGATTGTGCATTAGGTTGGTTTGATGCATACGTTTGGCTAGCTCGAAATTTGTATGGGCTGGCACCACAGGTGAAGGGCAACGTTCGTTGGGTTTCCCAGTTATGGTTTGTGAGCCCATCATGTTTGCCGCCGCTGAATCGTTGTCAAAGACATTTGTTGAAAATTGGTTCGTTTTGGTGATGGTATTATCAAGTAAATCCAAATCTCTTATGCGTGGTGAAAGATTCGATGTAACCAAAGCGGAGGTTTGTGGCAAAATGGGTGTTAATTTTAATGGTGGTGGTTCACAATTGTTAGGCGGTGCCTTACATTCATGATCCCCCAATAAGTTTTGATCTAATTTTAATGGAGGTTCTATATTGTAATCGCGATTGTATTTATTTTCCAACAGAGATTCTCGTGTGGGATGTTGTTCCTTAAAGGAGGTGAAATCACCGGGTATATATTCCAAATCTAGGGACTAAAAATTGAAAAAAGGGAAGAAATGGGACCAGGAAATTACTTTTTTAAATTACAAAAACTATTTCTTGCTTATCTGGAACAAGGTGCGTTTATTATTTGACTAAAAATTGAACAGGGAAAGAAATGTGTTCAAAAAATTTTTTTTTTTTTTAATTTCCAAGAAGCTTATCTGGAACAAAGTGCGCTATAATTTTGATCATGAGTGCAAATGAAATTGATTTTATTTTTTTTTATTAATTTTTATTTTGTAATGGCTTGAAATTGAATGATTGTGCAATTGAATCGAAAATTTATCTTACATCCTTCTTTTCACACGCATGCAAAGGCCGATTCGGTTGAGCCACCCTTGCTAGGGTCTCACATTTGTTTGGGTATGACAATCGAGTACCGGAGACACCAAAATCACTCAGATCTTTGCCATGATTTGTTGCCGTCAAATATTTATGATATTCATCACCAAATTTCCGTGTCAATTTATCCGGTAATTGATAGGTCCCAGAAAAATTACCCCAGGGATTTTGATTTAGTCTGGAAATGTAGAAAAATTATTTTAGAAAAAATTTTTAAATAAAATCCATAACAATATACTTCTTGGAACTATCCAACAGATGGCCCCTTTCATTGGCTATGAACTGGGTAGAGCCTTTACGTTGACGTGGTCGAGGCGGATCTCTGGTTTGCCATTTGGGTAACTCCCAATTACCTAAACGGCGTGAGGCATAGGCTTGTTCAAACTGAAATAGAGAAAAACGGAATGAAATGACAAATTTAACATAAAAACAACCTGTTCTAGAGACATTACACAAATCTAGCCTGTAATACCATAATTTATATCATTATAATCCTTGGGTAAACAAACAGGAACAAAGTTACTACCCAAACATAGATAACAAAACACCCTTTTTTTCAATAAAAAACTAGACACACAAACAACAACAACTCTGCCTTGTTAAAAGATGAGTTGACTTCATCCCCTGCCATATTAGCCGGCAATTACATGCTGTTCGCCATACATCCTTATAGACAATTTTTTTGAGGACATGTGTAAAAAACTATCCTGTTTTAATACCACTTAAGCTTTTGTTTGTTTTTCGAATAAAAAACGATGCACAATTGAATTCAGTTGGTATTTGTCAAATTTAAATGCTGCACTTCTTAATCCATAGCTATCATTTATCACTTTCGGACCTAACCTCAATTTTGGGGGGTGGAGAAATTCTGCAAGGAGGCAAGTGTTTTAGTCAAAAGTTACTGGGATTAAAATACATCTGTTGATGTAAAAAAACAAATAAGAAACCAGGTGGCCGGCGGGATATGACATTAATTTCAGAAATAAAAAAATATTTGGAAACAATTCTAACAGAGTTGGTTTTTTGTATATAAAAATCCAAGACTTGTATAGACCTTGAAAAAAATAGTTTTAATGTAACGCCTTGTGTAGATATTTGAAAAAATATTATTTAAAAAAATTTTTTTTAATTCTCGTGGGAACCATTAGGACCATTATCCTCTTGTCAGCCTCTTTTTTTAGTTTTCATATGTAAATTACAAGAAATTTGATATCTTCATCTGTGGCCAGGAAAAAATTTACATACCGACGTTACTGTTATTATTCCATCAACACTTGTCTTGATGACATTTAACGGAAAATTATTTGATTGAAAACCACACTGGCACGCGCCACACGAACCTGTGGCATAACACCACACCCAGACAGCATCCCGCAAAAGGCAGATACAACCACCCTTCTCTTATGGAAATGATGTGAACAATTTCAACACAGATATTCACACATACAAAATTAGTGAATAATTAAATTTAACGGTAAGAGGCGTTAAATTCGATACTTAAATTTCGGGTGAATTCGTACTTCATTTCCACTCTATCTCTTTGTATTTAGTTCCACTGATATAAGTAGGCATTTCAAATTGATTTTAAACTCAATTAGCAAATTGTTAACAATTTGAGAATATTGGTTGTCTTCCATAGATAACGGAACGGGTCATCATTTGGCACTTCTACAACAAAACGTTCAGCCATCCATCAAATAGCCAAAGTTGTCCCTGACAATGATTATAATGTCAAATCTCTGGGGCAACATTTATCAAGAGATGCTACAAGCGCGGCGACATGCACGTACGTTTGGCAAATACCCCCCACCCCTTAACTTCACACAGGACACACACAATAACGCACCCTTTCGACTTTCACACCAACCCTCTGTAGGCTGTGGGCTAGCTGGTATTTTGTAAGTTAACACGTGTATCAATAGATTTCGAGGATTTTTTTTTGTTATTCGGATTCTATTGGTATCTGCTGGAGGTGGGTTTCACTAACAAAAAAGGCATAAAAACACTTGTTACGATAATCCTCGTTTTATGACACTCCAACTTTAAATAGAATAATACTTAGCCTTCGGAGTAATTTTACGCTTCTCTACCAACCAGATAATGGGCGGATCGATGAATGGATGGATGGATGGTCTCCTGTCGATTTTTTCTTCCTTCTTCTCTTGACTAAAACAGATGTCGAATCAATTGTTTTGAAATTAACTTAATATTATCCCGTGTATCTATGTTGCCGTCGCCACGGATAATTGCCAGCATTAAACGAAGATATGTGATTAAGCGAAAACTCCCGCAAATACTGATATGCCGGGTGAAATCGAACGAACGAACTTTTCGAAATACAAAAGCCTGTCACATTTGACCCAAAAAAACATAAACATATTTTGGCAAAATAGTACAATAATTTCTTGTACCAGGATATTATTTTGTTGTTTGTTTATTTATTTTCTTATGCATGCAAAGGTGGGTATGGGTGTGTGTATACAGGAAGATAGGTAGAAAAATGTACGAGGTTAGGTTTGAACAAGGCGTGGATTTTTAAAAATATATTTTTCAAGGTCTCTCCGGATTTAATTTTTTTTTCATGGACTATACAAGGCGTGGATTTTTAAAAATATATTTTCAAGGTCTCTAGAAGTTCCGGATTTAATTTTTTTCATGGACCATAAAAGGCGTGGATTTTTAAAAATATTTTTTCAAGGTCTCTAGAAGTTCCGGATTTAATTTTTTTTCATGGACTATAAAAGGCGTGGATTTTTAAATATATTTTTTCAAGGTCTCTAGAAGTTCCGGATTTAATTTTTTTCATGGACTATACAAGGCGTGGATTTTTAAAAATATTTTTTCAAGGTCTCTAGATGTTCCGGATTTAATTTTTTTCATAGACTATACAAGGCGTGGATTTTTAAAAATATTTTTTCAAGGTCTCTAGATGTTCCGGATTTAATTTTTTTTCATGGACTATACAAGGCGTGGATTTTTAAAAATATTTTTTCCAGAAGTAAATGGTATGTATACCCCACACAACCATGTTGTCAGGGTATTATAGCTTTGTGCAGTTCCAAGAGTTTGTAACGCCGCGAAATATTGGTCCTAGACCTACCTTTAAGTATACCGATCGTCATATCTCAACTAGCTGAGTCGATCCAGACATGCGTGTCCGTCCGTCTGTCCAGTTATGAACCAATTTTGCATGTAGGATGGATACTGGCCAATGAAGACCCCTATTGTTTTTGTTAAAGATCGGTTAATATTTAGGGAATGAAATGGACCAAAAACTTTATTTTTGTCTGATTATGTGGTTGCTCTAGAGGCCGCAAATTTTACATGGAGAAGAGGATTGGGCCAAAGAATATCCATGCCTGTTGTGATAAAGATCGGTCAATATTTAGCGGGTCAAATGGACCCTGACTTTTGTGTGAAAAATTACAAAAGTTATATTTTATAGCGTATATATTTACTCCTGAAGGACATAGAGCCGAGAAGTTGATAGTATATCCAATAGAAGTGGTTGAGCTTTAAATCGATACCAAATATAGTAATGTATCTACTCGGATGTGGGAGTTACACTCAAATATTTACAGGTGCTTACGTATTCAGATATTATTTAGTAATCCATTACCACACTAGAGGGCGGAAATATAGCACTGATCGCTTTGAAATTTTCCATGAGGTTCCAGTTATGGTCAAGGATAACGCCTATAATTTTCGGAGATGATCAGATTTTGGTTTTTTTTTTGTGTCGATCTGTAGGCCACCACCAACAACACCCACGGTGAATGGAATCTGAACAAGTAATTAAAGGGGCGCCTGTACTGAATATTAGTAATATTCGGAAAATATGTCATTGTAAGGAAGAGGTGCTGTTGAACTCTAATCGGGCAAGAGGTTGCAAATATCAAGAAATATTGCCCTGGCTCGGAATAAAAATCCGCAGAAAGTTAGAGTTCCGTGGTAGTTGTGTAGCTCCGCTCACTGGTTTTGTATATATTTTGATTCCAACTAACCTCGTATTTGAATGTCACAAAAAAACTATTATTTTTTGAATAACGTGCGTGAATTTTATTTATGCGGTTGCTATGCGAGGAATTTTGTTTATCAAGTGATTTTTAGCAAAAACGGAAGACAGCCAGTAGACAATGTTTAAATACTCACAAATTTACAAACATATACAATTTGAGGAAAATTATGATAGATAGCTCGATAATACACAATTTTATTAAGCTACGAATTTGTGAAGGCAGTCTTAATAAAACGTTCAAAGAATATACACAACATTTTTATTTATTTATTATTGTAAATATTTATTTATTATTAATGTTTAATATTTATTTATTATTATTTTTAATTTTCTATTCCGGATTCAGGGAGTTTGCTATTTTTTTAATCCAATATATTTGTATTCAATACCTGATTAGCACTATAATGTGTGGCCATTTTTTTCAAATACACAATTTTCTTAAAATTTTTTCTCACATAATTTTTTAAAAATATTTTTGGATTTCTTTTTCCAAATTTTAAATTATTTATTTTTGTTAATTTCTAATTTGAAAATTATTTCAAAACAAAAATTACTTTTTTGTTTTCAAATATTTTTAGCCCACTCTGTTGCGTGTAGAGTTTGTCTAAGTCCAAACTGAATGCCACAACTATTTGTAAAAATAGTATTCAAGGGGAATGCAGTTTTTTTTCAAAAATTCCTATAAAATGTTGCTAAAGGTTACCACTTTGTGAAAAGGTTTTGTTTTTTGTTGTGTTTATTGGAATTTTTTGTTGTTTAGAACTTGGACAACAAAACAAACATTAATTATTACCTTGGTTATATAGGGATATTTTATAAATTTCAAATATGCGAGGTGAGTGTGATAATTGAGGAGACCCAAAAATAAAAAAAAGAATACGAAAAATTTACAAATTTCAGAACGAATCTTGAGCAAAATATGGTGGATATCTTCATTAGAAACTCCAGAAAAGTACTGACTCGTCCAATTTAATTTCCATTTTTCGTTTTTTTTTTTTTTGTTTTTGTTTTTTTTTAATATCCAATGGAGAAAGTTCCGTATTAAAACCTCACTTGATTGTTTTAATAATTCAAACTAATTAAAAAAACATTGTTTTAATATGGAATCTGTAGCATTTTTTTTTTTTGCTGTGGTGGGGGCTATACAAAAGAAGGCGTGTCTTTTATTTACGAATTCCTGCGCATGTTCCAATTTTTTTTATCCCCAACCAAAAATTTACAGCATCCTCACACAAAAAAGGGGGATTGGAGACTGGACACATATGTTTCGAATTTCATGTATCAACTTTTTATGAATGTAGACAACAATGCCAAATGGGACTTTTTAGAAATGAAGGCATTTCTATACATAAAAGGTTTCCTTTAAAGGACAATGATTTAAAGGGTATTCAAGAGGCAATTGGAAAAATAAGAACAATTTAAAAAAAACAAAAAGTTATTAGAACTTAAAGTTTTCTTTCCTTTTTTATGACTTTTAAGACATTACCAAATTTATTTTATTTATTAAATTTATTAAACATTATTTTATTTTAAGTTGGAATTAAATGTTTTTAAATTCTTTCACAATTTTTATTTTGAGTTTTTTTTCGACATAACCTAATTTCTTTTATTTATTACATTTTTATAAAACTTGTTAAGCGATTCGGCTTAAAAAATGTTTCATTTTTTACTCAATTTTTAGACATAACCTAATTTCTTTTATTTATTAAATTTTTAAAACATTATTCTATTTTAAGTTAGAATTTTGTTTTAATTCTTTCCTAATTTTATTTTGAGTTTTTTCGACATAACCAAATTTCTATTATTTATTACATTTTTATAAATTTTGTTAAGGCATTCCGCTTTTATTTGAAGTTAGAATTTAAATTTTGAACAATTTTATTTCTCTTTTTTAATTGAATTTGTTTTCGACATAACCAAACTTTTAATTTATTTTATTATTTTTGTTTGAAGCTTTAAAATTTCTTTATTAAAATTACTTTCGAATATTAGGAAATGCACCCAAATTTTCAATACATGCAGAAGTATCTAAATTCATTATCCCATTACTAAGTAATAATTATATTTTTCTAAAAGTCGAAAGTACCTGAAATTATTTTCCAATTGAGAAAAAAAAGTATCAAAATTTTCTTAAAAAATTAAAATTATTTATTGAATAGTATTTTCTTAATATTAATAATTACACATATAGTCGACTTAATGCAATATTGAAAAATATTTCCAAGCAAAGTCTACACATTTTCATTTTTAAATTTAAATATACAAAACTTTTATATTTATATCACATAACAGTAATAGATAAACTTAAAAATTTCTATAAAAAAAAATAAAATCATCTATGTATATAAAAATATGTATTCTATTTCAACTTAACCTAACTTATAACCCCGCAATCCTATGGTGTCTCCAGAACATGATTGAGATATGCAATATAACATATGGCCAATTTTAAGATTTCAATTTTCGACAACTTCTTATCTGGCGGTAAAGTTGGTAGCAATTTCCTTAACTCCGCAAAGGATACATTAAATGCTTCGACGCGAATACGTTCTCTGGTTGCATGAGCTGTACGATATTTTAGTGTTGCACGTCTTCGGCGACGTCTTTCTTCCCGCGAAAGACCTACTAATTCTGCTGGATCTAAATGTGTTATGGGTGTGGTGCGTCTACGTGGAGCTGGCGTGGGCGGAGGTTGTGGTAAAGATTGTCCCACAGATCCGGATCCGGATTGTGTCATTGGTGGTGGTGTCTCACACGCCATACGAGCTTGATATCTTTTATCAAAATCGAAAGCGGCATAATCTTGATTTTCCACATTATTTAAATCTTGCAAATAATAACGGCCCACAGCGGCAATATTTTGTGGTGGCACCAAATGATTTTGTGTCATATCATAGACCATGGCGTCCAGTTTTTAGGTATCTGCAAAATAAAGGGGAAAATTTTGACATAAATATTTGCGGCAATAAAAGGCAAAAATATTAACATTAGTATTTGGAAAAGGAAATGGCCACAGGTTGTTATTTAAATAAGCAAACCCTTTATTATTTCAGCGGTTGCATATGCCTAAAGGGCGTACTAATTGTATTATTTATGGCTTTTATTGTTTGGCAAACAATAACGGGTTATTATTTGCACACGTCCTTTGCACACATCGATTGTGTGCATGAAGTATTGTGCAAACACTCAACCCTTCACTTTGTCCAAACATCAAATGTATTGAATAAACATTTACCATCAGCACATCAATATTTACAATCACGTTCACCAATTTGCAGTAAAAATCTTGTCATATTCAATTCCCAAGGGTCATATAATCCAATATGTTTTCATAACTTACCCAGAATTTTGGTTTTGTGGTTTACTATTAGAATATCCGTGCTGATAGGAATAGAATTAAATGAATCCAATTTTTTATTAAGTACTCCTTACTGTTGCAATTCCAATTGGAAACTGTAACTTGTTCGATGTTTAACAGCATCTTATATAGGACACACATCCCTGCATCCATTCATCCCTTATAAATGAGATTAGTCGTGTATGACTACATTAACCAATCAGAATACAGATAAAACGTAAAGGAAAAATGGCGTACAAAACTCCGCCCCTCCTCATTCAACTGCTTCATTGTAGACCCCTAATATTAAATATTTAATTATCTATTTTTAGTTGGTTATTTTAATACATTTTATTTATAATTATTACCTTTATTTATTATATTTTCGTGGCAAATAACACCAGTCCTTTATAAATTTCTGAGTGAACACTATTTTGCCGCCAATTCAACTGACAAAACGTAAACGCATTGAACACAACTGTCAAAACAACTGAACACAGCCACAACTTACAACATCTGTTTCTTAACGCCGTCAAAAGTGATCGGCTTCATGGTGTAATTGTTTTGCATAACCTAGTGGGCGAAAACATATGTTTTGTTTCTTGGGGCAAGTGGAGGAAATCACCGGAATTCTTGGAACATTTTTTTGATATTATAAATTAAAATGTTCTCCTTAAAGTGTTTGCTAAATTCTGCCGAAAGTCATTGCCTCCAGGCTATGCGTCATTATGGCAAACACAACAAAAAATTCCTCTACAAAGATGGCCAGAAATATGGAAACATTATTTACTATCCAAGGCAAGTATTATAGAATATATGATGGGGAAGAAGTCAATTTTAAGGTCCGGTAGCACTAGAGGCCTTGATTTCAACAATATAGTTTTGGAATCAATAAAAAATGCAAGGATAACATCAAATCTTTTGAGGCCATTGTATTCCGCATCCTTTGGTCGACATATGGTTTATTTCCGTTTATTTCCTTCTTTGCAGAACCCCTGATCATCAAGATCCCCCAATTGAACCGGCAAAATTGTTTCGTGTTCAGCGTATTAAACCCGTCAAAGGTAATCCCTACTGGGAGAAACGTCTCTTAAAGGAATTGGGTTTGGATGGCAAACAAGGTGATTTTACCGTTGTGAAAAATATTCCCGAAAACAATGCACGCCTCTGGAAGATAAAGCATTTGATCAAGGTGACACCAGTCACATTCCCTCATGGTGAACCCACAGAAAATGATATCAAACACACTGTACTCAAGGAGAATGGTGAATGTATAGTGACCAAAGAAATTGGTCCCGTTGAAGACAGAATACAAGCATTGGAAACATTCGAAAGTGATCCCAAACGTTTGGATACGGATTTATTGAAAAAAGATGCACGTTTGAAATGGCAAAATCCATGGTAGAAAAGAGGTTTTATTATTAAAAAAATGAACAATTTTTTTCGCTTAATAGTTTTGTGCTAACAATAAATTATTAATCTATAGAAAACAATTGCTTCTTATTATTATAAATCTGGCGACATAGCTTCTACGGCCACTTTTTTGCCCAGTTTCTTACAACCTGAGGTGGCAAAAATGCCATGGACTCGATCGTAAGTGATGTAGTCGTTTACAACTCGCCTGCAAATAACCAAAGGGCAATATTACAACATGGTATTTTATTATTAAATATTCATTTTTCAATACTCACTCCACAACTTCATCCTTGGGTTTTTTGCCCCACAATTCAAACTCCGCCTGGGCACATTTGTAAACATGCGATTTTTCCAAAGGCAAAAATGGTATAAAATGATCAATTAAATGTGATTCAATGAGGCTGGTCTTCTTTAAGCCTCCATCCAAGTTGTAGGCTCCCTTTTCCAGAATTTGTTCAAAATCACTCAAACGAGTTTTATCACGCAATGTCCCACTCTTGATCAGCTTACCCAACTTATCGGATATGTGGACACCAGCAGTATTGGAAAGAAAAATAAATATCGCCTGGGTACTGTCCACACCATTAACCAAGGCATTGTAATTAATCAAAGATGCCAATGATTCAAAGACCATTGGTGGCATTTTATCCACCTCATCGAATATAAACAATGAACGTGGACATGCTGCAATCGCCTCTTTAGCATCCTTTAGTATACGGGCACTATACAAATGGGCATCCGATTCCAATGGAAAATCACCACGGCCCAAATATTTGCGTACAAATTTACTTTTCGATCCTTTTTCGTAGATTCTTTGGGCAATTTTATCGGCCACAAAATTCTTACCCGTTCCCGGGGTACCATGAAAACTAATTACTAATGGTTTTTTGGAATGCTCCTTTTCCTTGAAGTGAGCCTCTAAGGCGGGTATCAACTGTTGCTTGACAATGTGTTGGCCAAACAAATGCTTGTCCAAATCCTCTTGCAGACCTTTAATGTCCGCTGGTATGGAGCGTTCGTTGCAACATTCAGCAAAGCGACAATAAGTGTTATCTTTTAAAGTATCAAATTTGTAGAGACCCAATGCAGCACCAGCTGCTAGTCCCATGGACAAGGGATCAAATAAGGCACGGACACTGGAATTTATAACACAGATAATTAATGACAAAATAAATACACATTTTGAAAACATTATTCTATTCTAAACGACGTGGTGCAAGGCGGCAGTGCAGTAATGACGTATCTTTTGTTGGTGGATTTTGAAATTTCTGTTTTAAGGGGACTGGAATGTATCTCAGCTGTTGTTGTTTTTGCAAGCCATGCAAATATAATTGATGACTGCGTTGTCAAAAATAGATGTCGGCAGTGACGTTATCATTTTGCAGTGAATCGCATAAAGTGTAAAATGAATGTTTGCTTAAATCAAAATTAGTATTTTTTTTGAAATATATAAAATAAAAACGATCTTTTCTTCACTAAAATTTGATTTTTAATTAAAATTGTTTTAATTTCACATCGTCACAGGCATAATTTTTTTCATTTAACCACCTAAATGCGATGAGTTACCAGGACACATTGTTTACATGTCACAAACAGCTGTTCGATAATGTTTTTAAAAGCGCCGGCAATTTAAAAATGCTGGCATTGTAATAACGGTACTTTTAAAAAGAAGAAGGTATTTAGCAAGATCTATTAATAAGGTCACCAAGATAGCAATCGAAATCGGAAAAAATGTTTTTTTGTAATGTTCAAAAAAAAATTAAAAAACAAAATTAGCAATCGAAAATCGGAAAACAGATGTTTTTTTGGCAATACTTTTATTCAAAAATTTCGACAAAAATTTGTGTAAAAAAATGTTTTCATAATGGAAGTCAATTCACAATAATATTCTTGACAGCAAACTTGAGGGGCACATATACAGCTGGTCTCCCTGGATGACCATATTTCTATAAAAAGGCGCGTCACAACTAAAATAGAAAATTCAAACTTTTTTCTTGAAGCTTGAATGTTTTGAATGTTTTTGAAAAACTTGTAGAAAATGGAAGTGTTGGACATTAAAACGGATTTCAACTCCAACAAGGGTGCAGAAAATGTCAACGACATTAGAAAACATATCATTACCAAACTGGAGCAGATACATCGTTTCAAGGAACGTGTCTCCAAATACATTGATGATAACTATGTCGAGTTTATGCCCAATAATACAACTCTCTTCGATTTGGAAGAGGGTAAGCTTTTGGAAAAGGAAGCCTATGATTTACTCAATTCCCTGCAATGTTCCATGCCCCAGTTTGATGCTGAACTAATGTCAACGGTACGTAAATTTGAGTCTGTGGTATGGGAATTGGATGTGGTCAATCGTATCCTGGGTGCCGATGAAATCTTTCAAATGTTGGAAGAGACGAGTTCGAATGAGTACATGATCATATTGGATATGTTGAAGAAATTGAATAATTTAATACACACGAGTGCCAGTGATGATGTTCAAAAGCTGTTGGTGGCCAGTCCATGCTATGATACAATCAAAGTGAAGTATATTTTACAATTTTATACGGTCAAATCGAATATGCGTAATAAATTTCAAGAGCTGGTGCAGTTTTCGGAAAAGCAAGTGGCATTAAGTTCGTGTGCCACCATACAGGTGTCCAAAGATATTAATCAATTGCAGGATACGGCACTGGCTTTGTTTCAGGTGGGTGAAGATATTTTTTATATGAAAATAATTTTAAAATTTTGAAATTTGTTTCCAGGCCAAGTATGATGTTACCGAATTGTGTGATTTTTTAATGGACAAATGCCTGGCACCGATTATTACCAAACCGGTAAATGTAAACTTCTCGGAAGAAGGCGAAGATTATCAAATCTTTCAATTGTCCTACTCTGCGGCTGCAGCAGATGTAGGCAACACACCCGATTACACACAGGTCTTTGAAAACATTAAATTACTCTTCCATTGTTTGGATAATTTGAATATATCTGTTACCGAGGAGCAACATGTTTTCGGCGTAATAGGAGAACATATTTCCAAACGATTGCTACAGCTACTAATCGATGAATGTCTAATGGATTGTATACCGGATACCTTGGATAATGATTCACAACCAAGAATGATTGAAGATATTCTAATGTTTGAAAGTTTTCTGGCTGATGTGTTTTTAATTAATCGCGATATTGATAATCAATTGAGTAAATTTACGGAAAACTTTGATACGCTATATCATAATCGTCTGTTTCGGCGCATTATGGATACGGGCAGGGAGTTAATGCAGAAGGATCTACAAGATATGACCGTTATGGCGGAGAAAAATACAGCCGAAGATGTGGCAAATAATCCATTTTTGTTTCCACGCTGTATGGTGTCAAAAAGTGTGTTGGTGAGTAGCATTTTATATGATCTAAATTTTAAAAGTTCACCTTGAGAAAAATTCAATTTTAGAATGAAATTTGAATTAAAAAAATTTCCAAAAATCTGTAAGACACTTGTAAACCTTTAATTTGTATATCCCTCAAAAAATTATGCCCATTTTCTCCCCCACATAGGAATTTGTAAAACTTCTCAATCGCATTCTACGCCAGGACAATGAATCTGCCAATGAGGAGGGACGTTTTTTTAACATCATTTCCATTCTAATCAATTCCTATGTTACCCTAGTACCACAATATCACAAAGAACATTTGGAAACATTGCCCCAACAATCTATGTTGTTCTACAACAACTGTATGTTTCTTCATCATTTCTTGGCCAAGAATTATGGCATACCCACGGTATCAAATATGATTAAAAATCTATCGGCCACGGGTACCAAATATTTGCGGCAACAAATCAATCAACAATTGAATGAGCTGCAAAAAATACTGCAAACAAATGAAAGGGAGGTGGGAAATATAACACCCACAATGGTGCATGAATGTTTGTCCCACCTACGTTTGCTTGAAAGTTTATGGCAGCCTGTCTTACCCGTCAAGGAATATAATAAAACCATGGGAGAATTGATAAGTACCTGTTGTTTAATTTTGAATCAACAGGTTGTTGCCAAAGAGACGATTACATCCTTCGAGGCCAAAACAATGTTGGAAATATTTGAATTATTTCAAAACAAGGCTGGCTCCTTGTTTAAGGTAACTCCTCCATATGACACATAAACAACATTTGTCAGTAATGTCCCCTTAAATTCCAGGTGGGCCAAGAACTCAAATCGGTGGTCAGTTGGCAGCGTATGCTACTCTTAAAGGAAACTCTGAAGGCATCTCTTACGGAAATCACCGAAATGTGGTCCATGGGCAAGTATTCAGATTATTTCAAAGCCGATGAAATAATTGGTTTAATCAGAAGTTTACACCCGGATACGGAAAGACGTGCCTTGGCCTTAAAAAAAATCTATTAACTATTTTTTATTATATTTACCTATGTATATAACCTATATTACAATTTGAATTCTTAAAAACTAAGCTGTGCTTTCTGCAATTGCCTGCAACAATAAAGGCTTTAGCTGATTTTGTATTAATGAATGATCTTTGCCATGTGTAACTTCGAGAATTTTACGTGCTTCTTGGAAATTTTCAATACAATCTTTGAGATGGGATTCATGATGTTGGATTTTGGCTAATTTTAAATAGAGCAAACCCAAAAGAGGATTCCAATCGCCATAGTATTTGCTGTAAGGGAAGAAAATTAAATTTTATTAATTTCTTATGGGTTGGAATTGTTGAATGATTTAAATTACCGAAAACCTGGCAGTAATTTTTTGCCATAATTTAAAGCTTCTGGCCATTTGCCAACATCTATGGCAGCTTCAAAGGCAGCATCTAGGGTTTTGATATACCAAACATTGAAAGGATGCATAAATTCCTCCTGTTTGTTCAGCAATACTTTACATACATCTAAATCTGCAAAGGAAGAAGAAGAAGAAAAATAAAGTCCTTAGAAGTCAGGAAGATTTAGAAATGAAAAAGAAAAATATTTTTAAAAAAATCCACACCTTTTATAGACCTTTGAAAAAATGAGTTTTATAAAATCACCAAACTTACATGCCACATCTTTCATACTGCCTAACTGATGTTTGGTTAACTCCATGACTTCATTAAAACCATTACGATGCCTGGGACTAATACCCGTACCACAGGCCGAACAATTGGTGAGTTTAACATCAACATTGGCTTTACATTTACGATTCGGACAACAGGCCGACTCCATTTCCAAAGCCTCATGGGGATCAATACACTTGCTGCAGATACACAGGAAATAGTAATTGTCCTTTAAGTCCTTACGTCTTTGTTCAGGCGTATTCAACAAATCTATGTAGCTAATGAAAATCTGAAACGACAATATGTTTATAAATATTGAATTTATATTCAGAGAATCTAAAAATACCTTTGACCAATCCAAACACTCAATATCTTCTATGGCCTGTATATGCAATGTGGTGCCCTCAAATGTGGCCACTGCATTCGGTTTGCAGCTGTGATCGGTGACGGAAACACCCAAAAATATGGCCGTTGCAATTGAATTCATTTCGGCATCGAGTATATTGAATCCATTTGTAATTAACTACAAGTGGTGGACAAATTACATGTGTTGATCATTCAAATAACATTACTACAATTTGTCTACATAAAACCAAAAAAACTACAACTTAGCGCCACATTGCTATGCAAAAAGTCACCAGAAGGGGGCTCGACATTTAACATTAGAAATTTTTGTTGTTGTTGTTCATGTTCTATGTTTATAAAAATCGAAAACGAAAGTGTGTTGTGGATGCTTCTTTTGTTGGCACAGTGCCCAGGTAGAACACAAGCAAAAAAATTATAAAAAACAAACAATTTAAACGTAAACGTAAAATGAAAAAAAAACAAGCAATATTTTTAATACAAAAAATATGATTGGACAACGCATAAGGTGTGCAAGATTGTTCTAGATTCATATTAATGTGTCATTGATAGCAATTTTTCTTTTTGGTTTATTTTTACAAACCTACCCGGCCATATATTGTTAGCAGTTCAGCCTCGTTGGGTACAATGGCACTGTCCTGCATCATTTCACTCAAAATGGCATGTAAGCATTCCAAGTGTTCCAAACGTCGTGGGTCATGTTTGATTTCTTGATAGTCTATTAAGAGAATATCAATTAATATTTAAACTAATAATTAGGTCAACATTTTCCTTACGTGACATTAAATCTCTAAATTTGCGAAAACATGTCTCTGTGTAATAACCCTTTTCCATATCACCACCATTATTCAATTTGATTATAATACGGCATAGTATGCGTGCAGCATCTGGTACGCTACGTGGATAAATGCGTTTCAGGAATGGACATTCGATTTTATGTAATGGCCATGCCTCCATTTGGCATGCCCGATTACAATAATAGACGTAATTGCAATTTGAACATTTCATAACCTTAGTACTAGTATAAAACAAAGAAAACAAAATTATTTATATTTTATGTCAAAAAATTACATTCCACTCACCTGCTCAAACAATTATCACATCTTTCCTTGCGAAATTGCGATTTAAGCACATAGGTAAATGGCTTTTCCGTTAGAATACGATCGCCCCGTTTTATCGCCTTATTGGGTTTCATTTTCACCACATCCTTTTTGTAATCCTTGGCAGCATAATTACTGATATTCAACGATTCTAGGGATCGTATTAAGTGTGGTGCAAATATTCTTCTATTTGAAGGCATTTTGTTGTTTTTGAAAATAGAATTTATTAATATTGAATTTTATTTGGCAAACTGAAGAAGAAACTAGATTGCCGTAGTATTGCAATTCTTTTTTCTTCCTCCTCTGGTTGTTATTTAGTAGCTGTTGCTTGCTTTTCTGGCAATCGATCGAAAGAAACTGAATGATGTCTATCATAACATAACATTACCTGCTGTGGTGTTTTGTTTTTGGCTGCCTGGCGTCTTATTATTTTTTTTTGTTTTTCCTATTGTGCTTTATGTTTCTCTTAATTTTAAGTGCTAAAACTTAAAAATAAACTCACGGCAAGCGAAAAACACAGAAGGAGAAGAGTTGGCGTTTTATTTTTAGAATGTAAACAAGAAATTGCATGCTATTGTGCCGCTTTGTTTACATTTTGTTGTTGTTCCTTAACAGCTGTTATAAGGGTTATGGGAGAGGGAGATATATATGAATGGTGATGACTGTGGAAATCTTGACACTTGTGGGTGATACTTAGATGTTGGCGTGTGAATTGTATGACAGTTGTTAAAATCAATAAAAGGGTGCATAAAATACTGCAATTTTAACGTTTTTATTACAAATTATGCATAAACAATGTAATTACGTTTAAATTTTATTCGTATAAAATATATTTAATTATTTGTTTTGCAATAATATGAAATATAACTCAAATATTTTGATAAAAAATTGTATTTTTATTTAAATTATAAAATTATTTTAATCTTTGAGGAAGCAATTGAGAATTTAAATTTATTTTTGTAATTTGATGCTGTCTATTTTATGCTAAAAACTGTGAAATTCTACTGTATTAAAATCAAATGATTAGCTATTTGGAATATATAATTGTTAACAATATGATGTGTGACTCGAAAGCTTTATTAAGGATGATAAAATCACACACTCTAAACGATATATAAATCTAAAAAAATCTAAATGTAAATGATAGATAATATAAATAAATGCAAAATTTTATAATGATTAAATTACGCCGTGTAAACGTTATGTTATATGTAAAATTTTTATGATAAAATTTTAATGATAAATTTGCCTTGTGTAAATGTTAGGTAATATATAGATATTTAAATTAAAATGGCTCCGTGTAAACGTTATTTTACACGGAATCTAGTAATATTAATTTATTTTTTTCTTAGTTATTTTAAATCAGGATCAGGCGGAGTGTCTACTTGTTTATTTTTTATTTACTCCCCCCTTTTAAATCCGCAGTACAAAAGTCAAGTCTATTTGTTTTGTTTACATTAAAAAATATCTCCCCTGTTCTGTACTGTTTTGTCTGGTGTTTTTTGGAGAGTGGAAGTAATGAAGCCGTTAGTTATTTTATTCTCTTCTTCAGTACCGCGCTCTCTCTTGCTTTTTATTTAACTACTTTCCCAGAGAGCTTTCAATTGTGAATCCTTGTTCTCACTCTCATGGCATGTCACAGGTTATTTGTTATTTCGCGTGCACACGCACATACACCCGTAGTGTGTACATGCATAGCGATACACACGACAAGAGGCTGTTGTTTTGGCATGCTGTAGCTTGCCTGCCACACAGATTTGCTTTTAGTCGTATACTTTCATTCATCTCTGCTGGACCAAATAAACAAACGGAAACTGTTATAACGGTATGTGCGGTTAATGGATGTGATAAAAGAACAAGAAGAAGAATAAGCATTGATAACAACAAAAACAACTTAAAGGAATATAAGAAAGCAAAGGAAAAAAATAAAAATCAACACTTTGAGAGTTGTAAAATAAAATACAGAAAATTTGTGTTCATTTGTTTCTTTTTGACATAACGGTAAACGGTTGGAGAAGAAGAATTAAAATCTATTGAGAGCGTGAGTGTGTAAACAAAATGTGTGGACAAGAGATTTGCAAAACAACATTATTTGTTATTTTTTATTAGTTAAAATTCTTGTTGTTGTTGTTGCCTTTGAAAAGGAAAATGTACACAAAAGAAAAAAAATTAAGAAGAGGATGTTGCTCTTGAATGTGTCTGCCAATGTTGCTGCTGCTGTTGTAACAATGTGTTTTGTTGTTGTTACTGCTCGTCGTCGCCTTTTTCTGCTCCATGCATTGGCATAATTCGTGTGTTCGTGTGTGTGCCTGTGTGTTGCTGTGTGTACGTGCGTGTGCTTTACTGCTGTAACAATAGTGAGTGAGTGGTTTTTATGTGACACCACCCCAAAGGAAAAGCAGATACAAACAGAATTGATTTCAATTATGAGACAATCGAAGGATTCAACAGAAAAATTAAAGAAAGCAGTCAGCCAGCCAAAAAGCTTGGCAATAGTAAAAAAATAAAATAGAAAAAAACGAAAGAAAAAGGTGAAGAAAAAATCTGAAACGTTGTTGCTATTCACAGAGATAACCGAAATTGCCCAACAAAATGAAGTGAAAGGAGAAAAATCTCTACAAAATACAGAAAAAATTAAATAGAAAAAACGTAGAGTGGTAAATTAAATGAAAATCAAAACTAAATAAAAAAGGAAATATTTTTGTGTTGAAAAAAATTAAATATACAAAAAAGAGGAGTAAAGAAAAATCACATACCAAAGGAAATAAATTACCCAGCATTATTGGCGTGTGTGTAGTGACAAGGCATGAATTGCTGAAAAAAGAACAAAAAGTTTAAAAAATCTCAGCCCTTTTTAGAGCAAAGAAATTGTTTGCAAATGCTGTGTAATTGTAAAAAATGACTAAAAACGCCAAGTGAAAAGTTTCTGTGCAAAGTAAGAAAAGTACAAAAGAAAAGTGCAAAAAACCCGAAAAGTTAATTATGTTTCCTCTGTCATGGATGGTTTTACGGACTGTTTGTTGCCATCACACCATATATCCGTTTACTTCGCATCCTTTAAAAAACACCTGGCCCACAAACAACAGCATCTTCTAGTTTAATATTTTTTTTCGCCAAAACAAAAAAAAGTTTCGTGAATTGTGACTGGCAACAAAAAAATAAACAAACAAACAAAACGAGCAAACGTGCGAAAAAAGGATATCCAACGCAAGTTTAAGTCGAAGTGGCTTCCCCCAACTATTTTTTTCTCACAAACACAATCAAATATCCGGTTGACATTTTTTTGTTGACCTAAGCCAAGGAAAAACCACCTTTCTGGGTAAGTTGTCATTTCCTTTTGACTTTAACTTTAATTTACATTTTATTTTTATTTTATTTAGATTAATTTTTTTGTCCTAACATCGGATCACTCCTACCTTTACAAATTGTTTTGGGGTTATATGGGTGAGCTAAAAATAGGGGTTTGAGTTTTTAATTAAATTCTAAAGCCAAAGGCTAGGTTTTGTGCCTGTTTCCATTCCCAGAAATGCCGGTACGAAGTTACAGAAAAATATGTACAAAGGAAAAACTCTTTGATTTCCTAACATAGCCAAGGCAGAAAAAGGGCAAAAACGAACACTAGTTCCAGGAAGGTTTTAAAATAAAAAAAATATTTGAAAGCATCCTCAAAATTTCCTCATTATCCTTTTCATCAATGCATTTTTATGGACAATTATCCTATCCTTGAAATTCCACCTGTTGGGATAATTTTTTTAATGAAAAAAGCAGGAAAATTTTTCTCAGAAACCCAAAGCTTCTCTGAGCCATAGTTCGGAGATATTTTTGGTACTTGGCTGTGTATGACTGATGACAGTAGTCATACGCCACAAATCTCATAAATAATATAAAAAAAATCTAAACTGATTTTTATCCATAGAAAAAATTTGAACCAAACCACAATTAAAAAAAAAACTAGAGAAAGCAATCTTAAGATTCCGGCATTATCCTTCTCATCAATGTGTTTCGATTCCCAGAAATGTCGGTTCGAAGTTGCAGAAATATAATGAACAAAGGCAGAAAGAGGGCAAATTACGAACACTAGTTCCAGGAAGGTTTTAAAATGAAAAAAAGAAGGAGAAAGCTACCCCAAATTTCCCCCATTATCCTTTTCATTAATGCGTTTTTATGCTGTCCTTGAAATAGTTAGGAAATCCAGCTGTTGGGTTTTTTTTATCAAAAAAAAAAAAAAATATATATATAGGAAAATTTTTCTCAGAACCCCAAAGCTTCTCTGAGCCATAGTTCGGAGATATTTTTGGTACTTGGTTACAAATTCCACCTCTTGAAATATTTTTTTTTTTGTAAAAAAAGGAAACAAATTCTCAGAACCCCAGGACTTCTCTGAGCCATAGTTTGATTTTTTCTATAGAAAACTTTTAGTAGAACCACAGTTCGGAGATGTTTGTGGTACATGGTTGCGCATAACTGATGATAGTAGTCATAGGAACTCATGACAACTAAATAGAAGACGAAAGGATTTGTTGTTTTTAATATAAAAAATTTCTAGACTGATTTTCATCTAGGGAACCTCTTCTATATCCTGCTCACCAATGTGGTTATATGGACAATAAAGATGGCCTTAAAATTTTTTAATGAAAAAAATCCCAGGGCTTTTCTGAGTCATAGTTCGGAGGTTTTTTCAGCAATAGAAAAAAATTTAGCCCCCCAAATACCTTAGATTTATTTTATAGAAAACTTTATGCAGAACCACAGTTCGGAGATGTTTTTGGTACTTGGTTGCGTATGACTGATGATAGTAATCATACGCCTTGGAACCCACAAACAAATATTATTTAAAAAAATCTCTAGACTAATTTTAATCTATGGAAACAATTCGCAGAAAATTTTTATAAAACAAATTTCGCAGTACCAAAGCTTGGTTTTATGTTTGGTTCTTGGTTGCGTATGATTGATAACAGTAGTCATACGCCTATCCTTGAAATTGTCGGGAATTCCATCTGTTGGAATGATTCTTTTAAAAAAAATCTAAAAAAATATTCTCAAAACTCCAGGGCTTCTCTGACCCATAGTTCGGAGGTTATTTCTATTGAAAAGAATTTCAACCGCCCAATATCTTAGTTTTTTTCTATAGAAAATATATGTTGTTGCGTATGATTAATGCCAATAGTCATACGCCTTAGAAGTCATGAACCAAT